CACTTAAAAGGTAAAATGCATAATTTAAAACCTGGCCCTGAATATTATATGCTTCTAAAAAGTGCTAAGAGTTACAAATTACAAGATCCTTCTGAGTCACCAAGTAAAATTAAAGAAAAATACAAATCATTTTCTCCTGCAACTATATCAACTGTTACAAAAGATCAGCTACAAGTGGACTTTAATATTCAAACTCAAATAGCTACTGATCCATTTGAAAGAGAAGAATTAATAAAGTCTGACTCAAAAGAAGAAGAATTAAGAAAGTCTGATCAAGTTTTAAGCAGCCATTTATCTACTGAATCTACTGAACCATCAGTTGTTGATTTTGTTACTTTTAATAATAAAAATGAAATTGGTGATATTCAAAGTGATGCTTTTGATGAAGATGATAATAATGATGATGATGGTGATTATATACCCTCTGAGCAAGAGAGTGATGAAGAAACATTAAAAAAACTTTCTCCATCTATTGAAGATTTGTTAAACGATTTTTATCATTATCTTACAGGACCTGATAGAGCTAGAAAAAGTAGATCTATTGAAAGGGTTAAAAATGACGTTAAAAGGATTTTTTTGGCTGTTGGTTTAACAAATTCAATAAAATTATTGTTTGAAAATGACACAGATGTGATAAGAAAAAACTATCTTCAAGTATATTGTGTAAACAGAAAGTTAGAAGCTGGTTCAATTAAAACATACTTAAACTCTTTAAAAGATTTTTGTTCATATCTTATAAAATCAAAGTATCGTGAATTTGACCTGTCTTTTGAAACTATATTTCAAACTATTTTAAATATTGAAAATTGGAGAAAAAATTACCGTGCTAAAGACAGTATAAGAAAACATAAAAGAGCTGAAGATGACCTTTTAATGCTTGTTACCCCTGAACAGGTAAAGAAATATGAGCAGAGCAAAAATGCATCAACTGCAAAAAAATTACTTGAGGATTTGAAAAACAATCCGAATAAAGAATTGACTATGTTTGATTATTGTTGTTATAGGGACCATGTCTTTTTTATTATACACTTTGCCAGTGCCCATAGATCAGGTGTAACAGCAAATATGACTATGGAAGAATTTTTTAAAATGAAAGTTTTTAAAGATGGTATGAAAATGATAAATGTATGGGATCATAAAACTGTTTCAACTTATGGTCCAGCAAGAGTGACTTTAAATTCTATTGAATTTGAATGGATTGAAGTTTTTGTGAATCATGTTAGAACAAAATTACCTGCTATTCATTCAGATAAAGTATTTTTATCATGGTCTGGGAAAGAAATGTCTTCTGGGGATATAAGTGGAAGATTACATTCGCTTTGGGTGAAAGCTGGTAATTTTGATGGGCGCTTTGTACCCAAAAAGCTCTCTGCTAACATTGTCAGAAAAACAACTTCCACATTAGTTCGTAATAGCGAGTTTTATAAAGATAGAGGTGTTGTGGCTGACTCAATGATGCACAGTGAACTAACTGCTGCCACTCATTATCATACCAGAAGTCAAGAGCTTAATGCAATTACTGGTGGCAATATTGTGCGCAAAAATTTTTGTCGTTCCCCACTAACTAAAACAGACGAAGTTGATAAAAGTAGTTTAACTGAGGAAAAAAATGATCAGCTTCTTACGTCAGAGAACCTCTTAAGTAAAAATGATTTTAGTTTTTCTTTGATGAACACGCCTAAAAAAATCTGGAGTAAGGAAGAAACAAGTTCTTTAAATTTATTATTTCCTGATAATAAATCTCAAAATATATCGTATAACCAAGTAAAATCAATGCTTGCCAAATCTCCTTCAATTAACAGTTCACCTAGACAAGTTTATGACAAGCTGAAAAGAATGAAAAGAAAGTATCTGGAAGATATGCCAGAAGAATCAAAGGTTTTTTTCTTTTAATTTTTATTGGTTCGGTTTTAAGTCTTTTTTTCTTTTTTTTTCTTCTAAATTTTGCTTCGTAACTTCTCAAAATAATTATAATCTTATATATTGTTTAAATTTAATTTTTTTTCATACTAGGTCAAGAAAAATTTGCAGTTTGAACGCAAAACTTGGTCTTCTGAACAGATAAATGAGTTAAAAGTTAATGGAAAAGAATTAATTTTGGGAGGACCTTTATCACGAAGCCGAATTTTAAGTGTTCTAAAAAACTCTAAACTATTAAAAGATTTCACCATCACACAGTTGAGAACACGAATTAATCATGAACGAAATTAAACTTAGCTGTTTCTTGACTATAACTTATAAATAAACAGTTATTATTTTTTTATTTTTAAGTATTTAAATAAACATTCCAGCTTTGTTATTTCTTATATTAGGTTCCTTTTTTCAATATTAAGCTTAACTTTTATGATTACTAACGTGTGGCTTGGGAATGTTTCCATAAGGCCATTTCCTTATTTAAATACACCACTATGGAGAAATAGTTGAATCAGTTTTTACAACCAGATGTCTTTCATGGCATTAACCTGTTATGATGATCAGGACTAAGTATTTTTAATGTGATACACTAGGTATATTATCATACAAGGTTTGCAAGTTCCTCCAACTTTTCCCCACAAATAAATCAAGGGGTTTTATATCATAGCTTTCTTTGTCCTAGAAAAGTTGTCTTTGCCACAGTTAAAGAGCTTTACCTGCCATAATCAAGTATCAGTTTAACTTCATTACCAGAACAAGGATTGATTCATATATATTAAATGTTATCTTGCTTACATTCAATCACTAACAATATGATAAAATTTGAAATAGTTTTTACAAAAATGGGCAGAATTTTTAAATCATCATAAATAGAGACAATTTAAACTTAGATTAAGGTTTATTACTCTGTTAATTTGAAACTAATGACAAATTCTCTTAAATTATTTCAATCGAAAAAGATAATTTTCTAAAAAAAAGGAACACATGATAAAAGTGAATAAGAATGATTATTATGAATATGAATAAGGACTTTTTATGATGTCACTAACAAAAATTAAACCTAAAATATAATAGCACTGTTATTTTTACCTTTTTTATTATGACTGATAATAATTATTAATTTAATACTGATTAAGATTTTATAAAAACAAATTAAAAATCTAAGGAGAGCTCTTAAATTCAGTGTTATCCCTTGGACATCTTTTTAACACACATTTAAGATTAATTTTTAAATTAATCTTAAATGTGTTAATCTTAAATCTTTTAAATTAAATTTTAAATAACTACAAGCAATCTCTCACAGTAAATGACAATACAGTTACAGTTGCAGACAACGTCTTACAGTCTTACAGTTAATGACAACCAATAGAGTAAAGTTTTTACTGTCAATTGAAAACAACGTTTAAAATGCCAACTCAATCTAGTTAGTGTGTAAAATAGTTGTATTTATTCATATTATATAATATAAACTATTGGTGCCACCAGTTAGTGCTAGTGAATATTTTAATATTGTTGTATTTCTATTACAACAAAATAATAAACTTAAATGATGTACTCTTTTTTTTTGCAGTTGAAACCAATGAAAGTTTCTTTCAGAAATTAATGGCAGTGAAGTGGTACCTACAGTTGCAGCTCAAAATAAGTAGGTTTGAAACTGTCTTTGTGTTGATTGTGTTCTTTCTTTTAATATTTTCTTTACTTGATAAAATTAGTAAACTTTGGCCAAATTTAATTAGTAATTTAGTAATTTGCCTTTCATTTTTGTTTTTCAGTTCTACTTATAGAGCAATACGTGGTATAGATACAAAGACGTGGTATTAAAAAATGCTACAGTTAAAAAAAATCGTTTTACGATTTTTTTGAGGTAATTGTGAGCCTAAGGCTGATGATAAATAGTACATCTGGCTCCGTATATATGTATACACACAAACACACACAAGCTATTTACAAATCGA